GAGGGGGCGCCGGGCGGAGTCTCGGGGGAAACCCGAGGGGAGGGGGCGAGGGTTCTCGGCGCCCGGGTCACTTCGGGGAACTTCGCGGCGGGCCGCGGGGGCCGCGGGGACGGGGAGCCCGGCATCCTCCCTGGCTGCGTCGGGAAAGCCGGGGGCCGCGCGGAGGCGGCGGCGGGGGCGCCAAGCTCTGCTGCAGCGCAGACCGCGCGCCGGGCCTCGCGGGAGGGGGCCCCCAGCCTGGCGAGGAAGGCCCCGGGAGCTCTGGCCGGGGAGGGGGCTGGGGCTAGACTTTTGCAATCTGCGGGGCTGCGCAGGAAGCTCCGGCTGGTGGGGGGGTGGTAGAAAAGCAAGCGACTCTGAGCCCCAGCTCCCCAGGATGCCCCGTGGGGAGGTGCGCGCAGAGCATCAGCAGCTGGCTGGGGCGTGGGGGGAGGGGACGAGGGTCCTGCTCTCCCACCCAATGCGGAATCAGTGCGGTTCCAGCACTGCACTGGGGACGGAGGGGGGACTCTGTCGCCTCCCCTGGCCCCTCGGCCTTTCTGGGCTGCGGTACCCGTTGCCAGCCTGGCCCGGGCTGCAGTACCCTGGCTTCACCCACCCAGGCTGCCCACAACTCCGGGCCTGTGGCGCTGTGGCGGCTGCCTTCTTTTCGGTTTCCACCCTCAGCCTCTGCTTGGTCCTGCAGGGGTTGGGGTGGCTGCTGGGGGAGCCTAGTGGAACTGTGAGCACTTTAGGCTGCGCCCTGGGGCCTGCCGGGCCCAGGAGGAGAGCTCCCATAGGACCTGCTCTGCACCCCTGGGAGGAGAGAATACAGGGTGCTCATCTCCAAGGAAGAGACCAGGCCAAACCAAGAGTCTCCATAAAGATGCCCCCCATCGGAGGTACACATAAAAGAAGGAATAAAGAAGTGGATGTGTGTTTCTTGGAGACAGTGAGAGGCTCCAGGTGGGACTGGGCCTCCGAGTGGTGGATTCTTGTCTGTTTGTGCCCCTTGGGCTCTCCAGGGAGCCATAGAAGGTGACTTAGGAGGAGCAGTGGACACAGCAAGCAAAGATGGGGCCCTCAGAGCTGGACCAGGGCAGCCAGCCCCTGGGGGCTAGACACTTGGGTCAGCCCCTTACAGGGGTCCATGCAGCAAGGATTGGGCCACGTCAGCAGCTGCAGAGGGACAGGGTCGGGAGTAGAGGGGGCTAGCAATGGACTGCAGCCCTGAGCCCTTGGCCCTTGTCTAACCTTCTCAGGACCACCTGTGACAACCGAGGACTCCTGAAAACAGCTGGAAACAGCTCAAGAGCCTCTGGGAGACCCCTAGACCTACAGGCAAGAAGTTGTCCAAGCCCAGGCCATGGCCAGCTCCCCAAATTCCCAGTTGTCACCGAGTCATAGGCAGTCAGGTTGGGCCTCAGAGGTCAGCTTTCCAGCCCCTCCTGAATCTTCATGAGGACAGCAGTCACTTCGGGATCTCTGGGGTGGGGCCCTAATGTTGACATTTCTAACAGGCTCTTAAGTGAGGTCATTGGGGCAGACCACTCAGAGTAGCAAGGATTTGCCCCACGCCCAGCCGTGCACAGCGGGATGTCCCCAGCAGCATGGCACTGGGTCCTGTAGGTAGAGTGTAGGATTTAGAGTATTAGAATCCTGGACTGGAGACTAATCTATGGCTTAATGGTTGTATCTTAGTCACTTCACCACTCTGCACCTCAGTCTCTTCCTTGGATACGTAGTCCTCCCAGGCTGAATGCGAGGGTTGAGTTAAAATGATGTCATGGCAAGCCTCTGAAAAATGGCAGACTTACTGGCTCTGTCTTGATGGAGTGAGACCAGTACTCATAGTTGGGGTGAATCCACCAGCATGGCCAGAGCTAGTGAATGCATCCCTGACTGGTGGCACTTGGAGCTTCCTGTAACAATGGTGAGGAGGCAAAAAGACTTCGGAGTAGACATACCCGTTCCGAATTGTCCCTTGGAAAGCCAGTGCATGTCCATTGCACCAGGCTTTGAAGCATCCAGTTACCTTCCATTATCCGCAGTTGTCCTGCAGGGGTGGCTAGCCGTGTGTCTCAGTGGGCCGCGGAAAGGTCTAGAATGCGGCCATTTCCTGGCTACGTGTGGGCGCACGTTTTTAATGGGAGCTCACACGGCTCTGGTGGTCCAGGGCCATTATAAAACAAATAATGACAGTTAGTTTGGGACCCAGCTTGTCCCAAGCCACCTTTGGATTGAGACAGAGCCTACGGCATCCTCTGAAAGCAGAGGCCATGGGAAGAAGGGCCTGGGGCTACACCTGGCCAGGCCTCCAGAGATGAGAGCTTGCCACTACTCGGGCCTCCCAGGTGGGGGTTGCAAGTCCCCAGCACGAGTGTGCGTTGGCACCATACGTAAGCTGTATATTCGGTCTCAATAGCATCTTTGATGACAAGAGCAGGAGCAAAAGATGGGAAATCAAGCAAGACAGGATACGTAGTTGGAGGCGCATTAAGATGCAGCATTTAAGCAGGCTTTCTGAACCTATAGTCGTTCGAACTGGAAATTAAAAAATAAAACCTCAGCCAGAGGAATTCCGTTCTCTCTACTAAAGCGTTATTAACCTCTTCCTGGAGCCATGTGTTGGATCCTGGGTAGGCTGGAGGTGGGGCTACGTCCCTCCTGAGACACAACAATTCGGTAATTAATCAGAGGTGCTTGTTGTCCTATGTCCCTCTCTGCTCTCAGCCCTCTCCTGCAGCAGTGGTGATAGTTCTGAGTTCTAACCATCTATGAGTGACTTCGGGTCACCCGATACCAGGAAAACTCCAGCTGTGGTTTGGGCTCTGTCTTTTGTTGAGGGCTCGTGGGAGGTGGTCCTGGGTCTCCCTTTGACTTTCCTGCATGGCCAGCCCACCACCAGGAGCCCTACTGAGGGGCTGGTATTGCTCCCTGCATGACTGCCCCGGGGCCATGGTCTCCTCACATCTGGCCCATCTAGATCCTGAGACTGTTTTCCCTGGTGCAGTATGGCCAGTGAGGGATGAGGCTGATACTGATCACCTTTCAGGACAAAAAGGAGCTCATCTGAAAACCCAGACCACCCCAAGACTCCCTGAGAGGCCCCAGTCTGGGCTCAGTAGAGGCAAGTTTTAGGGAATGGAAGGGAACAAACCCCCAAGCCTGCAAAATGGGATTTTGTCCTGGTGATTACTTTATTATTAAACTGCAGTGTCCTATGAAAGAGAATCGTATCACCCCATCCAATTGCGGAACCTGTAAATCGCTCTGGGGGAGAGAGATATAAGTGCCTTAAATACTGCGCAGGAGGGAAGGGGGTTACTGGCAGGAGAGTGACCGCCCCTGGGGAGGTCAGAGGACCCGGGGCCTTCCTAAAGGGCGTGTTGTGAGTTCTGTTGATTGTACTGTCTTTATGTGCTTAATCAAGGTGAAATCACAGGTCAGCTCCACCACCGTGGTAAACAGTGCCAAGCACCGGAAGTTTCCGCTGAGAACGTGGCGTTTCCACATTGCTCCACGGTGCCGGGCAGACTGTGTCTTGGAGTTGTTGATAGCAGAGTGTATTCCCTCCGGTGGTAGGGCCCAAAAGCTCCGTGGAGGGAACAGGGGATTCAAGGGTCTGTTTGGGGATTCATTAGGAAGCAGTTTTCTTATTAATCATCATTGTCTCTTCCCTCTAAGGTAGTGGGGCTGCTAATCACGGGAATTTTTAATAAGGATTAATTACTGTAGCAAACGTAGCAATGCCTCTTGCACTTTGCATTTGGTGTCTCTTCCCTGGGCTGCATTTGGTGTCTGTCCCCATCGACTTGGTGTGATTCCAGGGACCCCACATGTTTACGGGTCAGCATGGATCACTAATGTGTAACTGATGGGCACAGGGAGACACAGAATGGCTACTTGTCCACCGGCATCTTCAGAAGTCCTTTGCTGTCAAGGTCTGGCTCGACGACTGGAGTCATAGCCTCAAAATTATCCTGTGAACTGGGGAATTTAACCAGACAAATAGTTGAGGTCGGATGGTGCTCATTCTAAATTAACCCATCTGGTGGCTCTGAGCTGTCCCTCTCTGGGAACATTAGAGAGACAAAGGGCGGCACCTTGTCTTGGCTTCCTGTGCCTTGAGAGTCCGTCTTTACAGGTGAGACCATTCTACCCTGGAGTAACTCGGTTCTGTCTGTGGGTTCTTCCCTAGTTTTCATTCCTTGGCGGCTCACATGCCTTCCAGAATCTCCTGAAGGCTAGCCCTGTGTGCAGATGTGTACATTTTCAGTTGAGGAAACCGAAGCATAAAGAGGCTAGGTGACATACCAACTCATAAAGCTGCTGAGGAGAAGAACCTGGAGTCCAGCAGAGACCACAATCAGGGCTCGAGTCCGTCTCTCATTCTCATGAATAACGAAGATTCGAGAAGTTCCGGTCCCCTTCCAACTGCCTTCTCGGCTGTGTGCAAAGGAAAAAGTACGTTAGCTGTAGCCTACTTGTGGCTTAAACGCTTTCTCATCTCTCCTGCAGATCCGTAGCCTGGTTTCCCTGGTTACCCCAACACCCAGCAATGTTTAGGAGACACCCTTGGTTGGGGAAAGGGGAAGGGACCTGTCTGGGAAGCCTGA